CTTTCCCATCCTTGTCAGGGAGGGAGTGAGGATGGATTTCGGAGGCTACTCCTTTCTCTCCACAGCCCTGGGGTGTTTTGAGAGAGGTGCCTAAGAACAAGAGACCTGAGGGTTGGCAGTACATAGCTGAAGCAAGAAAGTATGGCTGATGCTCCATGGTCAGCCAAGTTTACGTGCAGTTGTGGTCATGCAGAGCTGGGTCTCCTGATGACTGTTGTCAGCTGTAGGGAGCTCTCCATGCTAAGCACATAGGAAATGTCCCTCTCTTCCCACCTGGTTTAGCTTACAAAGGGGCTTGACAGTGGGGTAGTGTCAGGAGATGATGGAAGCAGAGATCTGGAGGTCTTTGCACTGTCCATAGCCTGCTCTCCTCCTGGCCAACACAAAGGAGTCAGTGTTGGTTTCTCACTTGCTCACATCGTCCTTGCTGTGGGCTGCAGCACTGCCCGCTGTGCAGTCACACGTGTCACCAGCTGAAGCCATCCGGCTTGCTGATGTGTCTGTAAGTCCAGTCCCACCATCACTGGTACAGCACTTCTTGCTGAATCATCAGATAGGTTGGAAGGGACCTTAAAGATCATCCAATTCCAACCCCGCTGCCATCAGCAGGGACACCTTCCACTAGACCAGGTTGCTCAAAGCCTCATCCAGCTTGGCCTTCAACAATTCCAGGGAGGGGGCATCCACAACTTCTCTGGCCAACCTGGGACACTGTCTCACCACGCTCACACCAAAGAATTTCTTCCTCACATCTCATCTAAACTGTCTTTGTCTCCTGCAGGTGTTAAGAAAAGGATCTGGGACACTGTGCGAGGCACTGCTGATGGTTCAGGCCTATCACGCCAACATCATCTTTCCCAACAAGCAGGAGCAGGAATTCAACAAACTTACAGAAGATGGCCATGTCCTGGACTCTGAGACATATGTGGGAGGCCATGTGGAAGCACTGGAATCTGGGGTGTTCCGCAGTGACATCCCCTGCCGCTTCAAAATGGTAAGGGACCACACAGACTACCTCTGTCCTTGCAAGAGCATGGTGGTGAGGAATAACCCTCCACTGGTGTTAACCTCTCCTGTGTGTCTCTGCTGGGCTTGGGCAGTACATGTCATACTTCAGGAGACCTTGAGCACCTGAAGGTGCATGGAGCTGGGTGGGAAGAGTCCTCCAAGTGACCATCTGTGACACTGGGAGAGCGTGTCGTATGTATCATGTACCGGAAGCAAGCCAGACCTTGTTGACAGCAAGGGAGAGTGGTGAAGTGAGGTTTTGGGGTTGGTTTTGAGACAGTGGTTCTTGGAAGATAAGCCTCTATCTCCTTGGGGTCCTGTCTTCCCTCTGTCCTTCTCCCACCCAAACTAGGCTTCTTCTGAACCCTTCCTGCATGTCTTTCACTGATTACTGGTTTACACTTTACACTTCTGTCTCCATCACCTCTGCCTTGCCTTGCTTCACACCTGTGTTGTGCTCACAGACTCTTTAAGTTTTCAGAGGCAGCTTCACTCTGAAGTTTTCAGCTTCACTCTGAAGTTTTCAGAGGCAGCTTCACTCTGCCGTGTGATGCATCGCACTTAGTGCGGGATGTTTTGGTGGATATCATCTAGTGAAGGATCATGAGGGAGAATGCATTGGGTGTATGAAAGGATCTGGACTAAGTCTTTGGACCCTTGCACCAGCCAGCATGTGACCATGAGAGGTCCTGCACTACCAAACACAAATGCAACCAGCTGCACACTTGTCTCTTCCCTTTGTTGTTTTTTTTTTTTGACCTGGAGTCAGTGGTCAAAAACCTGCCCATGCCTGGATCTGCTGCCCTGTGCTGCAGGGTCGTGCTTGAGCTCCCCAAGTCAGGCAGGGACGTGGGCAGGAGCTGCCAGCCTACAGCTAGGGATGGCTACCCATGGTCTCTTTGCCATCCCCACCCCCCTGCAGAATCCTGCTGCCTTTGACTTCCTGGTGCAGAATGTGGAGAAGACGCTGCAGCATGCCATTGAGGAGGAGGAGGGGTTGCCGTTGGATCAAGTCACCAACTTCCAGGAGGTACATTGGCTGCAGCACAGCTGGGTGTGGCAGGGAAGGCTGGGGCTGGAGCTTTAAAGCACCTGTTTAGGATCATTTTATGCTCTATGGAGAGAGACCAAGAAGCCCATCTATGGGTACCTGCAGAGTAGATGGTGGTAAGGAATGTTATAAGCAGCCACCACCTCCAGCAGTCCCAGCCAGGACCCCCTGCCCAGCTGCTGAAGCCCAGCCCAGGGGTCCGAGGTCTCTGCACCATCTGAGGTATGTGGTTCCTGCTGTCTCCTTTGTTCAACCAGGACCAAAGCTCTGAGAGGGCTGGGAAGGGATTTAGCGAAAAGACAGACCCCTCACATATCCCAGATACTCATGTTCCTCTTCTTCCCTGCTTCTTATTGGCTACGAAGTGCAGGTCGCCCCTCTCCAAAGCCAAGTCTGGAGTTTCTTGGAGGGCATCATCAGTCAGAGACTGGGAACTTCTGGTCTCTGCTGTTGCCTCCATTAACCCATTTGCACTGAAAAGGTCCTTGATTGAGTAACCTTGAGGAAGCGGCTGCTCTCACCTTCCATGTGCCCCTACAGATAAAGCCAACCTTGGATGGAGATTCAAAACAAAACCTAAAGTACTGATGGTTGAGGAGTCCCTGATGCTGCTCCTTTGGTCCTTTAAGTTTTTCCCCAGAGTCAGTGGCAGGTGTCCCTGTACAGGAGGAAAGGGCCAAATTCAACAAGTATTTGATCCATTAACTCCTTCCTGCCTGAGTTTCACTTCTTTTTGTCTCGCCACAGGTTTGTGATGAAATCAAGGTCAAACTGAATTCCCTGAAGGATGTTCCAAACAGAATCGAATGTCCCCTTATCTACCATCTGGACGTGGGGGCCATGTACCCCAACATCATTCTGACCAACAGGTTGCAAGTGGGTAACATCAACCTCATCTCTCTTAATTTGTCTTTCAGATGACCTTGGTGGTCCCTCTGATTGGATCACCCTAACAGCACAGGCTGACCTTTCTGCTCAGGGCCGGGGGATCAGATAAGGTTGGGTGTGAAGTTCAGTCAGGCTTCCATGGATGCCAGGTCTGCAGAGGCTGAGCTACAACTTCAGCTAGGACTCTTCCCTAAAAAACAGCTATAGTTGTTGTGGGTTTTGTGTTCCTGAAAGGCTCTGGAAAGGAGAACTCACTGAGTACCATCTCTGATGTTCACACATATGTTCTTCTGCCACCCAGCACCTCTTCTGGCATGAGTTGTCATTTGGAGAGCTGTCCCCTCTAACATCTGTGTGTCTTTCTTGTGTCCAGCCCTCAGCTATGGTGGATGAGGCCACATGTGCTGCCTGTGACTTCAACAAGCCGGGTGCCAACTGTCAGCGCCGGATGACTTGGCAGTGGAGAGGAGAGTTCAGTAAGTACAGAAAGGACCGTGGAGTCCAAGCCCCAGAGATGGAGGCAAATTCCTGCTTCTCTGCTGGGAAACTGAGAGCTGCCCTCCTCTGCAGTGCCTGCCAGCCGCAGTGAGTATCACCGCATCCAGCAGCAGCTGGAGTCGGAGAAGTTCCCTCCCCTGTCTCCTGAGGGAGCACCCCGCGCCTTCCACGAGCTCTCCCGGGAAGAACAGGCCAAGTATGAGAAGAAGCGGCTGGCAGGTAAAAAAAAAAACAAAAAAACCAAAACAACGTTGTGATCTGGAGCGGTGTTTTGCGGTGTTTTGCGGTGTTTTGCGACCCAGTCTGTGGGCGGTGCTCACCATTAATCGCCTCTCTATGGCTGTGGGCTTAGTTCAGGTGGTCTGGTCTCAGACCATGCTTTGGCAGGCTTTCTCCAGGATCCCAGCAGGCTCCTGTGTGCTTCCCAAAGAGGGGCCAGGCACTGGTGCCGTTGTGATCTGGAGCGGTGTTTTGCGGTGTTTTGCGGTGTTTTGCGACCCAGTCTGTGGGCGGTGCTCACCATTAATCGCCTCTCTATGGCTGTGGGCTTAGTTCAGGTGGTCTGGTCTCAGACCATGCTTTGGCAGGCTTTCTCCAGGATCCCAGCAGGCTCCTGTGTGCTTCCCAAAGAGGGGCCAGGCACTGGTGCCTGTGGCAGTGTTTCTCTTTTTGTCTGTCGAGAGCCATGGATTTGGGCTGAAACATGAATGGCTCCATGCTTCTAATTAAAGCCGGTAAATGGAGGGGAAATGTAACGTTACCCCATCACCTGGAGTGATGCTGTTCAGCAGAACCATCCAGCTGTCTGAGGGCAGAGCCTGGCTTTGTGGATGGGCCATACTTGCACCATGATGAGTTTATTTCCCCAACCAGTCCCTGCATCTCCATAACAAGGTGCTGCTTCTCTCCGTGCTGTGATCTTCCTCCCCCTCTCTTTGCAGTACGATTGTCTCCCTGCTCACCCATGCCTAATGCTTAGATGTCTCCTTGTCTGTGCTGTGTCTGTCCCTCTGTCTGTAGCGGGGCACCCATCCCTGAGAAGCTCTCTCTATTTCTTACCTTGACTAGATTACTGCCGCAAGGCATACAAAAAGATCCACGTCACCAAGGTGGAGGAACGAGTCACCACCATCTGCCAGCGAGAGAACTCATTCTATGTGGACACAGTGCGAGCTTTCAGGGACCGTCGCTATGAGTTCAAGGGACTGCACAAGGTACTGAGCTCGACTTCTGGCCTAACTTGTCTTCCCAAGGCTGAGGACCTCTTGTCTGTCACTGAAGACCTGAGTCCTAAAAGATTGCTCTGTTCAGTCTTTGTATTTGAGAAGGATGTGGTGGAGCTCCTGACAGCTGTGACTTCTTGCTGCCGAATCTTCAACAGCTGCTTCCATGATATTTGCTGCCTCTGTTGTGCTATTGGAAACAAAGATGCATCTCCAGGTTTCACTGGATTTAACAAATCCTCAGCTAGTCTCTGTTCTGATGTATCTGATCTGGCTGAGTTCAGTCTGGAGTGTTCTTCCTACATGGAGAAAAGAGACAAGCTGAGCAGCAAGGTCTAGACCTCAGGCTAAGGAAAGGTTCATTCCAGGAGGACATTCTAGTTCTCTGCTGGTTGAGGTTCATGCTAGAGGAGACCAGGGCATGTTATTCTTGGAGTGTGTTGAAGGCAATGACAAGGCCCTGGATTCTGAATGAGTTAATTAACGAGCTGATTTCTTTGTGGTTACTCCTGGCTGGCTCTTCTGCCATGTGTCCTGGGTGCATCCAGCACTGCACTGCGAGCCGGGCGAGGGAGGGGATCATCCCGCTCTGCTCTGCACTGGGGTGGCCTCACCTCCAGCACTGGGGGCAGTTTGGGCACCACAGGAGAAAAAGGATCTAAAGCTCCTGGAGAGTGTCCAGAGGAGGGACACAACATTGGGGAAGGGTTTAGAGGGGAAGGGTATGAGGAGAGGCTGAAGTCACTTGGTTTGTTCAGCCTGGAGAAGAGGAGACTGAGAGGAGATCTCATGGGGGTCTAGAATTTCCTCCCAAGGGGCAGAGGAGGGGCAGGCGCTGATCTCTTCTCTCTGGCCACCAACGAATGCCAGGAGCAGAGGAAATGGCAGGAAGATGTGGCAGGGGAGGGTGAGGTTGGCCATGAGGAAAAGGTTCTTGAGGCAGAGGGTGGTGGAGCCCTGGAACAGGCTCCCCAGGGAGGTGCTCATGGCACCAAGCCTGACAAGATTGCAGCAGCATTTGGCCAAGGCCCTGAGGGACATGATGTGAATGTTGGGATTGTCCTGTGCAGGGACAGGAGTTGGACTCGATGGTCCTTGTGGGTCCCTTCCAACTCACAGCATTCAATGATTCTATGAATCATGGAGCTGGCTGAGGCTTTTTCTCCATGGTGGTTCTGCTGTTTCGCCAGACATCATCAATTGTGGCAGGCAGTGCATTCAGTTCTTGCCTGTGCACACGAGGTGTAGTGCAGCTGATAGGTTGAATTCTGATCATCACCGTCAGAGTTATGGTTGGTGCTTCAGATTCTTCCTACCATGTGGCAAAGTGCCTCAGACAAACTCCTCCTCAACTGCAAAAGGAAAAGGAACGTTTAGCTCATGCTACTGATCTTTGGCAAAGATACTGTTCTAGAGTTGTAATGCTCTGCTGGGACTGAGGGGGAACCAGTTGGATACCACCAAGCAGTGATGTGTGGGATCATCCTGACTCTGCGTGTGGCTGGCAGGTGTGGAAGAAGAAGCTGTCTGCAGCAATGGAGACAGGAGACGCCTCTGAAGTAAAGCGCTGCAAGAACATGGAAGTCCTGTACGACTCCCTGCAGCTGGCCCACAAGTGCATCCTCAATTCTTTCTACGGCTACGTCATGCGGAAAGGGTGAGTCTCCCCCCTGGGCAATGCTGGAAACCAGGATTATCCTAGAGAGGCTGTCACTTGCTTCACCTGCTTCTGGAGCACCAGGATGAAGGCAAGTGCTGCCTGTAACACTCTCCTCTTGCTTCTACCAATGACTTCTCATCCTGGAGACTCCTGCCAGACGTTGAGCACTGGGTATAAGTGACAGGAGTCTTGTCTGTTAGTGGGTTTCCAGCTTTTCTGGACCGTCATAACTAGGGCAAGGAGAAGAACCTACCGAAGGCCAGTGTTGCTGTGTTTCTTGCCCTTCTTTCTCTGGAGTTCCTCCTGCCCTTTCCATAGCTAGGTTTGGGAGGGAGCACTTCATGCTCTTCACTTTGACTCCTCTGCTCACAGAGCTCGCTGGTACTCCATGGAAATGGCTGGCATAGTCTGCTTCACAGGAGCAAATATCATCACCCAGGCCAGGGAACTGATCGAGCAGATTGGGTGAGTATGTGCTGAGTTGAGGAAGAAAGATCCATCTGCGTCTGGGACAGATGTGGGAGCACGTTAAACAGCTGGGGCTTCTGCAGTTGATGTTGAAGATTCAGGTTTCTGACACTGCTGTGGTTATTCTGCTGCGTTGTGAGGGTTTGCTTTGCAGAAGGGACTGAAGGGTGGATGCAACAGGCTGCTTCTGCCTTTATGGAGGATGCAGAGCTGATCCTCACCTACCATCCACTCTCCTCCTCACAGTGACCTTCTTCCTTCCTTAGGAGACCTCTGGAACTGGATACCGATGGGATTTGGTGTGTCCTTCCCAACAGCTTCCCGGAGAACTTTGTCATCAAGTCAACCAATGCCAAGAAGTCGAAGGTGACAATCTCCTACCCAGGTGCCATGCTGAACATCCTGGTGAAGGTGAGTCTTGCACCCATCCAGGCCAGCTCTGCAGTCTGGAATAGAGGAGGTGGAGAACAGACAAGGAAGAAGGGCCTTTCTTCCATCTCTGCTCCCCATGTAGCAGCGGGACGCTGGGGCTGATGGCCCTGCTTGCTGCACAGCTGCTCTCTGCCCTGGCGAGCATCTGAGCAGAGGAGGAGGCTCTGATGTCCCTATAGCAGGGAGGGTGGTGTGGAAGAGGCCAGGCTTAGTGTGTGCTCACCTGTGCAGGCTGGAGTTCAGACTAGAGCAAGGTCCAAACCCCTCCTCTGCTTACTCCAGCTTCTGTAAGACAAAAGAATATAGTTTTAGGATCCCAAAGCAGTTTTCTTCTTAACAGGCAGGTCAGATGTTTTGATTTTTTGAGTCCTAAATTGTGCTGTAGCTTTCAGGGGGGGTGCTCAGTGATCCCTTTGGGTGGGGTGTGCCCAAGTGGCATCTCCTGGTGTAACCAACCCAGCTGTTCTCCTGTGCCCGTAGGAAGGCTTCACGAATGATCAGTACCAGGAACTGCAGGACCCAGCCTCTCTCACCTACATCACACGCTCAGAGAACAGCATCTTTTTTGAAGTGGATGGACCATACCTGGCCATGATCCTCCCAGCTTCCAAGGAGGAGGGCAAGAAGCTGAAGAAAAGGTGACATTTCAAAGCTTCAAATATTATCACTTTGCCCTTCATGCGTTTGGGGCACATTGGTCCTTGCCCTTGGAGCTGGCAGCACACTTGATTCGCTAGCTTTAAATGGCAAGTTCCTTACACCAGATCATCTTTGAATCCAGCTGTGCACTTGCCCCCAGTGCCATACTATAGCAATAAATTTTAGGAGATAACAGCAAAACAACATTTCTCCAACTTGGTGACCAGACACGATCTCCCTGTTTGACTCTGAGCTGTGCAGGAGAACTCTGACTTTCCTTCTGAGGACTTCTAATACTGCTTCTGTTCAACCTAATCTGTTTAAACTCCCCAGTTCCTGCCTTCCTATCTCTCAGGAGTTCACAGACCTCCAGTAACACTTCTCCTAGATGTTTCCCCTTCCTTCTCTAGTTGGAAGAGGTAAGAGGTCCTGCCTTTACTGTCACATTATGGGAGAATTGTACTCAAACTGCACTGATTTCTCTGCAGCCTCCTAAATAGGAACACAGAATCACAGAATGTTGGGGATTGGAAGGGACCTCGAAAGATTATCCAGTCCAATCCCCCTACCAGAGCAGGAACCTAAATGAGATCACACAGGAAGGCGTCCAGGCGGCTCTTGAATGTCTCCAGAGAAGGAGACTCCACACCCTCCCTGGGCAGCCTGTCCCAGGGCTCTGTCACCCTCACTGTAAAGAAGTTTCTTCTCAAGTTGAAGCAGAACCTCCTGTGTTCCAGCTCACACCCATTGCCCCTTGTCCTACCGTTGGGCATCACTGAGAAGAGCCTGGCTCCATCCTCATGACATTCAGCCTTTACATATTTATAAACATTAATGAGGTCACCCCTCAGTCTCCTCTTCTCCAAGCTAAAGAGCCCCAGCTCCCTCAGCCTTTCCTCATAAGGGAGATGCTCCACTCCCTTAATCATCTTTGTGGCTCTGTGCACGAGCTAGAGCAGTAGCAAGCACTAGCTAGAGGGGTGCCCACAGACCTGGGTCTGGCTCCCAGATTGGCTGCCCTCCAGAACCCTCTGTCCTTCCAGCTCATGCTTCTTTGTGCTTAATGCCCCATGGGACGAGCTCCAGTGTCCACTGTCTCTTTTCTGCAAGCAATGAGTCCCTGCCACAGGAGTTGAGGTGATGCCAAGGACTGAGTGAGCTCTGCTCCTAGGACTCTTATCTCAGGGCCTCTTGGCTTCTTGTATTATGGGGATGTTAGCAAGTGCATTTATTTCCTGGTCATTCTCCAACTGAAACAACCTGGAGGTGGCTGGCAGGCACTATTCTTGGTGGAGGAAGAGAAAGCTGTGCCCACAGGAACGTGGTCAGATGGGAGAAGGGCTGGCCAGGTGATGTAGGTTTGAGTATCCCCTCTCTTCTCTTGGCTGATGTTACCATAAGGTTGTTCTTGAGACGTACAAATAACTGGCAGGGCTGTGAAATGCCAAAAAATGCGAGAGAGAAGGAGAGAGGGAGGAATGTTCCTATAGTCGTGTCACAGCTATATCCAGTTTCCTCTGGACCCCTTTGCCAGCATCTGAGCTGACAAAGTTTCTTTCTTCTCTCTAAACATCTTCCTCCATTTCCCCACTCCAGCTCTTACCTCCCACCCTTTACTTGTGTGCAATTGAGATCATTCTCCCAATCCATATGGATGAGCCAGGGCACGAAGTGTTGTGCTTTTGCAGACCAAGTTGAAACGGTTGGTAGAGCAGTTGTAGATATTCCAAGATTATCCTAGTGCCGAGCACCACAGCTCCATTCAACGTGCCGGATAGCAGCGTGATAGCACGGGGAGAAACGCCCTGTCAGGAAGGACACCAGTGGGATCCTGGAGGACGTGTCCCTTGGCACAGGCCAGGTTTTGCCCATGCTGTGTCTCCTAGGTACGCGGTATTCAATGAGGACGGGTCACTGGCCGAGCTGAAGGGGTTTGAGGTGAAGCGCCGAGGAGAGCTGCAGCTGGTGAAGATATTCCAGTCTTCCGTATTTGAAGCCTTTCTGAAAGGCAGCACCCTGGAGGAAGTCTACGCTTCTGTGGCCAAGGTGGCCGATTACTGGCTGGATGTGCTCTACAGCAAGGTAAGCGCAGCTCCACAGTGCAGCTCAGCACATCGGTCCTCCTGAGGTGGAGCTGTAGAAGTGTCAGAGCTGGTCAGGTGCTGTGGTGAGGGTGGACTTCACTTGGACAGAGCAGGTGGTCTGCTGTACCTCTGATGGTCACTTCCATCTTATTTCTGCTGCGTTGGTTCTTTGGGGCTGCTCTTTAGTGCCTTTTAGTGCAAGTGCTCTTTGTTCAGCTGTAACTGTGGGTGAGTGGTGTCCTTTTCCAGGCATCTCCTTCATGGAACTGGTCTGATGGCCCTCATCCCCCAAGGATGTTGGCTCAGGGCGTTCACTGAGGCAGAGAGTGACAGTGCCACTTGCCTGTGGAGTGTTTTATGAGGAGCACAGAGGCATCAGCTGTACAGTAACTGGAGAGAGGGGGGGAAACACAAGAAATGGGAGAATGAGAGGGACTGAGAGCCTGGCTGGGTCCTTCCATTTTGCAATGAGCTTGTACAACAAGTTTTTGGTGAGCCCAACTACTTTGTGTGCACAACACAAAGCGTTGCTTGCCACAGCCCATGCGCCCACAGCATGAACCAGTGTAAGCCCCAAACCCACAGCTGCAACAGGGAGTAATTCCCAGGCTCCCCATAAAGAGCACTGGGTGTAGGCATTCCCCGTATCTGACAGCAGCAAGGTTTGTTCCTTTGGTTCTGGAGAGCTTTGCATGTTTTTCTTCCTTTTCAGGCTGCCAACATGCCTGATTCAGAACTGTTTGAGCTGATCTCAGAGAACCGGTCCATGTCACGCAAGCTGGAGGACTATGGGGAGCAGAAGTCCACCTCCATCAGCACTGCCAAGCGCCTGGCAGAGTTCCTGGGTGACCAGATGGTGAAGGATGCAGGGCTGAGCTGCCGCTTCATCATTTCCAAGAAACCAGAAGGCTCTCCAGTCACTGAGAGGTAACCCCATCTTGAGGGGTCAGAACTTTTCACAGTGTTGGGGCAGCCGAGAAGGGAAGGGCAGAAGGTGAGCGAGCCGGTGTGGTGTGGCCAAGTGACCACTTGGCTGCAGGCTCAGACCATGAGCAAGACTAGTGATGGGCAACGCCGCAGAGCTGCTGCGTGCTGGCCTCACGGGGTTGGGAGGAGAACCCTGGAGGGTCTCCACAGGCTGGGAGAGGGAATTGTGTGCTGACAGGACCTTGCTCTGGATGGGTAATAAATGCTTCACTGCCTTCCCCAGGGCCATCCCCCTTGCCATCTTCCAAGCTGAGCCCAGTGTGCGCAAACACTATCTCCGAAAATGGCTGAAGAGCCCCTCGCTGCAGGACTTCAGCATCCGTGCGGTGAGTGGGGCATCTGTGCATATGACCTCAGCTCCAGGACAAGGACTCATCCCTTCAGAGGCACAACCTGGGCAGCAGCTACATGCACTGGCAAAGTGGAAGGCTGGGTGTGGGGCTCCCAGGGAGATGTTTGATCCTGTGTCTGGTGGCCTTCTGCTCAGCTTTCTTCACTGCCTGCTGCTCTGTCCTCTTCACAGATCCTGGACTGGGACTACTACATTGAGAGACTGGGCAGTACCATCCAGAAAATCATCACCATTCCCGCAGCCCTGCAGCAGGTACGGCGTGGTGGTGGGGCAGGAGCGGGGGCTTTGTTCAGGGGACTACATGTGATTTGGAAATGCTCTCCAGGTAAAGAACCCGGTGCCACGAGTCCGGCACCCAGACTGGCTCCACAAGAAACTCCTAGAGAAGAATGATGTGTACAAACAGAAAAAAATCAATGAGCTCTTCACTTCAGAAGGGAAGAGACAGGTAAAGAGGGTGAGGGAAAGGTCCTGGCTGTGCTGATGAGGCTCTTCTGCAACCATGTCCTCCTGCTGTCCTTGCTCCTTCAGGTCCTCGCCAACCAGCCCCTGGAGGGAACACCCAGCTCACAGATTGGTGACATAGAGGACTTTGGGGCTGCCAAGACCCTTCAGCCACCAGTTCCTGTTGCAAATAAGCGGAAGCGAGTGCTTGCAGCAGAGGAAAGCCAACAGATGTCCCAGTACCTGGAGCTATCCCAGTCCTGGCGAGAGATCCTGGGTCCACCTCCACCCCTGGGCACCACCAAGGTAGGTGAAGCAGACTGGGCAGTAGATGGACAGGCTATGAGGACAGGCTGAGAGAGTTGGGGCTGTGCAGCCTGGAGAAGAGAAGGCTCCGGAGAGACCTTCTAGCATAGATGCTCTGAAGTTTAGAAACATTCCCTAAACTAGATCATCATACTAGAATAATTATTAGAAATATGGTGAAAACCAACCATATGAAACACTTCACTGAGATGAGGGTGGTCAGACACTGGAGCAGGTTTCCCAGAGAAGCTGTGGATGTTCCTCCTGTGGACCAGGACAATGCTCCTCCCTGGAAGTGTTGAAGGCCAGGTGGGATGAGGCTTTGAGCAACCTGGTCTAGTGGAAGGTGTCCCTGCTGCTGGCAGGGGGTTTGGGACTGGATGAGCTTTAAGGTCCCTTCCAACCCAAACCAGCCTGTGATTCTATGATTCTATGCAGCTTGGGTGCTGCCAGGAGCAAGCTGTGGGTCTCCTGCAACCCTCTGCACACCCGTGGCTCAGGGCTACAAGGAGACCAGGAGATGGAGAACTGTAACCACTGATGGAGAAAAGGGCGATGGGGTGTCAGCTTCACAGCTGGGGCTGGAGTGTGATGTGGGGCTGGAGGATGGAGGGTCAGCTGTGTGGTGTGGTGTTGGGGGACGGGGAAGTCTGTGCTGGTTTCTGGCTATACTCGTGCTGTCACCCCACTCCTGGTCTGGCTGCGCTTCCACCAGAAGAAGTGGGAGCTGCAGGCTCGGCAGCGGCGGGAGCGGCAGAAGAGGCGGCGTCTGGAGGACGGTGGGGTGACAGCAGGCGGAGGAGTGGTCCGCGATGCCCTCTCCAAAGGGCTGAGCAGCTACCTGCGCAGGACAGCGCGCAGCATCCTGGATTTGCCCTGGCAGATTGTGCAGGTACCCAGGAGGGGACCTCCATGGCGGGCAGGCTGGGGTCTAAGCCTTGAATTGACACCATCTGTGGTCAAATGGTGAAGTTCAGGGACTGCTGACCCCAACACCACTCTGACGTTAACCCTGGGGAGACCAGGTGGGGCTGCAAAGCCCCAAGCTCACCCACATTTGTATGGAAACGGGAGCACCCATGGTCATTCTTGGTGGTGAATATGGGATGTGGGTGTAGATCTGCCAGTGGGGCAGCTCCAGTTCAGCCCATGAGCAGCACTGTGCAGTAGTCACAGAATCACAAAAACACCAATTGAGGTTGGAGGTGAACTGGAGTCCATCTGGTCTGACCCCCTGCTCAAGTAGGGCCACCCAGAGTTAGTTGTCCAGGATGGCTTTCGAGTATGTCCAGGGATGGAGACTCCACAACCTCCCTGAGCAACCTGTGCCAGGCCTTCACTTTCACTGAGAGTGAAAAAGTGTTTCCTGATATGCAGATAGAACCTCCTGTTTTCCAGTTTGTGTCCATGGTCTCTGGTCCTACCACTGGGCACCACTGGGAAGAGCCAGCCTCCATCCCCTTGGCACCTTCCCTTCAGATACTTATATACATTGTTGAGATTCACCTGAGCTTCTTCTGATCTAGGCTGGACAGTCTCAGCTCTCTCAGCCTTTCCTTGTATGAAAAATGCTCCAGTCCCTTCTTCATACTTGTGGCCCTTCACTGGACTCTCCAGCATGTCCATGTCTATCCTGTACTGGGGTGTCCAGCACTGGGCACAGTGTGCCTGTGATGGACACAGGATTCCTGGGATGCCTGGAAGCAGGGTGGTGTTATCCAGGCATTTGCACAAATCCTTGTTATATGTGGCCATCTGAGCCCAGCCCCTTGTCACCCTCCTCATCTTCCAGAAAAGCCTTCAGAGCTACAGGCAGCCTTTGTGCAAGCACGAGACAACAGGTCCAGGATGTCAGAGTGACTCAGCTGACATCAAGGGTCAGCGTGAGTTGGTTGGCCAGCCTCAGCCAGGGAGTTTTCTCCATGGTGACCTGGGACAGTAGCAGGACACAGGGACTCCAGCGCTGAGAGCAATTACTCTAAGCCCCCTGCTCTCTTTTTGGTTACCCACAAAGTGTTCCAGAGCTTAGACATAAGCACTGATGAAGTGTTGGATCTCCCTGCTAACGCTTTGTATCCCCATGTCCTGCAGATTGCTGAGACCAGCCAGCCTGGGCTGTTCAGGCTGTGGGCAGTGATTGGGAGTGACCTGCACTGTATCAGGCTGAGCATCCCTCGGGTCTTCTATGTCAACCAGCGTGTCCCAAAGCCAGAGGAGGGAGCAACCTACAGGAGGGTGAGGACCTGCCCCTTCTGGAAGGGGAAACATCTGCTTGCGTTGAGATAAGGTGCTTCAGCTCCACTGCAAGCAGATACTGCAAACATCTGCCACTCTCCCACTCCATGGATGTACCTCATCCAGTCCATGTCCCTCTGCTCATCCCAGCCTGCCCAGGAAGCAGGTTCTCTGTTACAGGAATTTATAACGTCCATGAGCATAAACCACTGATTTCCTGAGGAGAGAGGAGCACTGGGAGCCGGGCTGGCTCAGACCCCAGCTCCTGGCAGTGGTGCTGTGTGGTGTGTTGTGCCCCGCTAAGCACGTCCCTTTCCTCGGCAGGTGAACAGGATCCTGCCCCGATCGAACTTGGTTTACAACCTGTACGAATACTCCGTCCCTGAAGACATGTACCAAGAACACATCAATGAGATCAACGCGGACCTCTCTGCTCCGGACATTGAGGGAGTGTATGAGACGCAGGTAGCTCCTCCAAGTGCTCGTTTTTAGGGATTGTTGAGTTGTAGCTTGTTTGTCTGAGTGGCAGGGATGCAAGGAGGACACCTGGCACTTAAAAATTCAACAGCGTGGTGAGACACCAAAAATCAAAGACCCTGCACAGCAGAGTACTGGGCAATGTACCCACGTTCCTATGGGCAGAGGTACTGAGTCGGCACACATTTTTAAGATAAAATGAGGTGCCGGTGCTTGCCTAAATATAGCAGATAAATGTTGAGTCAAGTTTTTGCCAGAATTGGCACCAGATTATCCCCTGATATTCCAACAGAAACCTCAGAACAGTAACTACCCTTAAGCACAAACCTAATAAGTTACTTCACAGAACGTGATGCAAGCTAGAAAATCTGCCCTGGGAGGTCTGCTCGGACTGAAGGCCAGACTGAAATAAAATATGAACTGTAAAAATCCTTCAATTATTCCTAGGCATACGACTGGCGTGGCTTTCCATATTTCAGTTTATCCTTAAAGCAGAATTAAGAATCCACTTACCTCCACTGGCATATTCCATTACCAAATACAATGTCTTTTCAGTTTGATGTCAGGGTTTGGTTTATTTGGAGTTAAAAAAAAAAGTGAAGATAGAAGGTGTTTAAATGGGAAGGGTGATCTATCTTCCTTTAAACCAACCCAGAACCAGCTTGCTGGTGTTTGAACCAGAAAAGATAAAGGGGTATTTAGAGTAAAGATGGGAGAAAACCCAGCACATGTGGAGTTGTACATAGGTCTGGATGCCCTGTCCTCTAAAATGAGGTTATAAATGCTTTAGAAAGAATAGGATACAACTTGAAAGTTTGAGAAAAGCAAGAATAACCTAAAAGAAGTTCAGTAGAAAACAATCAAGACAGAATTAAATTCGCTAGTGCTACTAATGCTGAAAGCCTGAAAATGAAGATAGGAAACTGGGATATCTGCTCTTGATGAGGACACTGGTTTGTTCAGCAGCTCCAAACCTGGTGACAGAAATTTAATCAAGAAGACATTGTAGTGTCAGGACCTGACCTATATGGAAGTGGCAGAGTAGGTTGTACCATTGTAAGAGTGGAGCTGTATGTTAAAAAAAGCAGAAAAGCAAGTGGATTTGCTGCTAAAATGCAACATGGAATTATTAGGGATCAAAAATCTTTGCCTAAGTAGGACAAGCTTGGTGAGTAGCGGTGCCGTTAGCTAAAAAATGCTTTGTGAAATGCAAGAGGCTGCAAGGGCAAAAAGAGCATCATAAACTTGAGAAATTTCAGATGCCAACGTTACTGGTGTTGCCTGGGAAGTGTTACAGTGGGGTGTGGTGAAAGAAACCATTTTAAGGCACCTTAAATTTCTGCTTTTAGAAAATTTGGATAAAGGTCCCACAAGGCAAGGCACAACTCTTGGTTTAGTAAGCAGTGCCCAAAATTTATTGCAAATGACGCTGCCAAAGTGAGTAGCATCTACACAACTTCATCATATCTTGTAGGAGATCTTCCAGTAGCAAACCTGAGTCCTCTCTGCTACCATAGTGTTTAAGAAATGGGACAAGGTAAAATCAAGATGCAGCTAGCTAAGAGGAAATTAAAATTAGCAACTGAAGTAAAGCAAGGGGCATGGAGATGTTTTAAAGATATAAAAGGAAGTGAGAGGATCAAGAGGTTGCAGCATCTGTTGTGCACGGGGAGGCTGAGTGAGCTGGGACCATTCAACCTGTAGGAGAAGAGGCTCAGGGGACCTTCTTGATGGGAGGCAGCAGGCAGAGACTGAAACATGGGAAATTCTGTGTAATTGCCAGAAAAAACTTCTCCTGCAAGGATGGTCAAGCTGGTTGCCCAGAGGGTTGTGGAATTTCCATCCTCTGAGACAGCTGGACACAGTCCTGGGCAAGGAAAGATCTGTCTTGATCTTTAAACATCTGCAGTGCAATTCTGAGCACAGTTTCCAAAAAATGTAGTAGGACTAATGCAGGAGAATGACGAGGAGGATGCGAGGGAGGGAATGGCTTCCTTGCAGGGATGGGACTTAAGGACACGAGAATGCTTTGGCTTGCTAAAGAGATCTGAAAATGGGATGTACTAGGGGTCTAGAATATAAAAACTGGCACGAGGGAGGTGTGATTAGGCAAGGAGTGTTTATTGCTTCTCGCTGTTTTGGGACTAGGTCCCACAGCAAGTCTGAGTCTTCTCAAGAAGTCCTTCTCAAGAAGGGAGGAGTCTTCTACAACGATGGAGTTTACAGCTGTGGGGTTAATAGAACAGGGTGGATCTCACACTGTGCCAATTATCTGGTGGTTCAGATGGGGCCTTTGTCTCAGGAGTACCAAACCACAGGCTGCAGAGCTGCAAGACTGGCCAGATATGGCTCCACAAAGTACCTGCTGCTGCCCTTGGTGGGATCTGGGGGATAGATAGGAACACATATGAATTAAGAATTAAGATACTTGTTCTGTATCTGCACCAGCACGGGTGATACCAAATTCATGCGGGAGGTGCCTCAGGTATATCCTACCTGTGTTTTTTTTTAAGCCAAGTTGTTCTAGGTCTGAAATTCCCAAGAGGAGCTTGGTAGTTGAACGTTGTTTCCACTACATCTCTCCCCATCATTCCAGGTGCCACTCCTCCTCCGTGCCCTGATCCAGCTGGGCTGCGTGTGCATGGTCAGCAGGCAGTTCGTCAGGCACCTGGCGGGGCGAGAAGCTGAGACCTTTGACATTGAGCACCTGGAGATGCGCTCACTAGCCCAATTCACTTACCTGGAACCAGGTGAGGCTCCACCCTGGGAGAGGGGCTCATGGAGCACCTGTGGGTACCACTGATGCTCTGTGCTCTGTGTCCCTAGGAAGTATTCGCCACATCTACCTCTACCACAGCTCCCAGGGCAGCAAGGCGCTTCTAGGCCTCTTCATCCCCTCTCAGCGCAAAGCTGCTGTCTTTGTGCTGGACAAGGTAAGGTGGGACTGTGGAAGCTGGAGGACTGGGGGTGCTGGGGGATGAAAATCTGGACATGAGCTGGCAACGTGTGCTCACAGCCCAGAGGCCAATAACCGTGTCCTGGGCTGCACCCAGAGCAGCGTGGGCAGCAGGTCGAGGGAGGGGGTTCTGCCTTTCTGCTCTGCTCTCCTGAGACCCCACCTACAGTGCTGCCTCCAGTGCTGGGGCCACCAACAGCACAAGGACACGGACCTACTGGAGCCAGTGCAGAGGAGGCCACCAGGATGATGCCAGGGCTGGAGCAGCTCTGCTGTGAGGACAGGCTGAGAGAGTTGGGGCTGTTCAACCTAGGTTTTAAACTAAAAAAGGGAAGATTTAGACTGGATGCAAGGAAGAAATTTTTTACAATGAGGGTGGTGAGACACTGGCCCAGGTTGCTCAGAGAGGTGGTAGAAGCCCCATCCCTGGAAACATTCAAGGTCAGGTTGGACGGGGCTCTGAGCAACCTGATCTGGTTGAAGATGTCCCTGGTCAGTGCAGGGGGATGATGGGGGTCAGGCAGCAGGAGGTTTCTCTGCACATCACACATCCCTGCTGTGTTTGGAAGGTACCTCATGATGCACAGAGGGGAGACCCCCATGGGACCACAGCCTGAGGTCCCTCTCCCCTCAGCTCCAATCTGGTCACCTTTGGGTGCAGGTACGCAGCAACCAGATGCCGAATCTCACCACCCTCTTCTCAGTGGAGCGCAGTGCGCTGCTGGAAAAGGTGGGTGAAGAGCTGCTGCCCCCGGACAAGCATTCCTTTGAAGTCCGTGCCGAGACTGACTCCAAGGTTGTCTACAGGGCTATCCAGCGGCTGCTGCTGGGCTACAAGGTGAGGTGAAGTTGCAAGGAAGGTCCCCGCAGGACCTCATCTGTGCAGGCATGTGGGAAGGGGAGGTTGCCACCAACACAAGGAAGATGTGGAGCTGTTGGAGCAGATCCAGAGGAGAGCCAGGAAGATGATCCAAGGGCTGGAGCACCTCTCTTATGAAGAAAGGTTGAGGGAGCTGGGCTTGTTGAGCTTGGAGAAGAGAAGGCTCTGGGGAGACCTCATTGCAGCCTTCCAGTGCCTCAAAGGAGCTTAGAAACAGGAGGGAGAGCAACTTTTGACATGGGCAGAGAGTGACATGACACAGGGAAATGGTTTTAAACTGAGAGAGGAGATCTAGGTCAGATACTGGGAGTAAATTTTTCACCCAGAGGGTGGTGAGACACTGGCCCAGGTTGCCCAATGAAACTGTGGGTGCCCCATCCCTGGAGGCATTCAAAGCCAGGTGGGATGGGGCCCTGGGCAGCCTGATCTAGTGGTTGGCAACCCTGTCCACAGCAGGGGGGTTGGAACTGGATGGTCTTTAAGGTCCTTTCCAACCCAAACCAGTCTGTGATTCTGTGATGTTATGGAAGGCACTGGTGCACCAGTTCAAACAGTAGCTGCTGGCCTGAAGGTCAGGGGTTGAAATGGATGTTGCTCAAGGCCTTTGTCTTGCTTGGTGTTACCTAGGGCAGTGCCAGCAGCGAGGCCACCTCAGTATCTTCCCCATCTCCACACTCAGCTGAAGAGCTGGTTGCATGGAGGTGGGTGCTTCAAGAGTGCTGGGGTGTGCTGTCCCCAGTGTGGGGACCTGCTGCTGTGACGGGGCATTGCTGGTTTCCTGATGCTTGCTGGAGAGGTGCAGCACAATGTGTCTTCCCTCACACAGGATGAGCGCCGGGGCCCCACGCTGGTCGCTGTGCAATCTAACTGGGAGCTGAAACAGCTGGCGAGTGGCATCCCCATCATCGAGGAGTTCCCCTTGGTCCCTATCCGGCTGGTAGATGGCATCAGCTACTCGGTCCTGGACTGGCAGCGCCATGCCGCCCGCCGGATGATCCGCCACTACCTCAACCTGGACACCTGCCTCTCCCAGGCTTTCGAGATGAGCAGGTCCCTGGGGAAACTGCCTTACCCTGGGGCTGCCGTGCCCTTGATGGGACCATGGGACACTGCCTTGTCCCTTCAGGGGGTCCCTGTCTTTTCCTCAGCTGTGCTTACCTCAATGGCCATCCACTTCTCTGTGCCCCAGGTACTACCACATCCCCATTGGGAACCTCCCCGATGACATCTCCACCTTCGGCTCTGACCTGTTCTTCTCCCGCCACCTCCGTCGTCACAACCACTTGCTGTGGCTCTCGCCCACGGCCCGCCCAGACCTGGGGGGTAAGGAGGCCGATGACAACCGCCTGGTCATGGAGTTTGATGAGAGAGCCTCCATGGAGATAAACAACCCCGGCTGCTACTCCACAGGTGAGGAGGGAGTCGGATGGGAGTGCTGAGCAGGGGCAGAGATGAATCCTGCTCTGTAAGCCCTGTAGAGAGATGGATGTGGTCTCCAAAGAGTCTCTGTTGACAGTAGTTACCAGCAGCTTTAGAGTTTCAGCAGTGATTTGGGCAAAGGGCATGTCCTGGGGCAGGGAGGTCTCACCTGCCATGTGTGCAGGCATCTGAATGCAGATTCTTTCCCAATTCACGGCCACCTACAGCAGCACTCAGAAGCCCATCTGCAGTGTGTCAGCCTAAGGATATACTCGCTCACCTGCTCATCCCTGGTGACCCTAGGACAGGTTGTTCTCAGAGGCAGAAGCAGCTTGAGTGGCAGTCAGCTCTTCTGAGCTCCTCTGCTGCAGCTTCCAGGAAAAAATGGTGATCCCTAGAGGGTTAGTAAGTCCAAGTCTTGTTGGAAGACAAGTGCTGGTCAAGGCAGTCACACCTGTGAAAGCATCTCCCCACTCGGTGCAGCAGCACCTATAGATCACCCTTATAACTGTGAAGAGCACTTCTGGCAGAGGGGTGGGGAGGCGTCCGTGGCGGTCCTTTGCCCTGTCTGCCTGCTGAGAGCTTGTGTTTGGTCTTAGTGTGTCTGGAGCTGGACATCCAGAGCCTGGCTGTAAACACGGTGTTGCAGTCCCACCACATCAATGACATGGAAGGAGGGTCCAGCATGAGCATCAGTTTTGATGTGATTCAGCAGGCGTCCCTAGAAGACATGGTGACAGGGAACCAAGCTGCCAACGTCCCGGCCAGCTATGATGAAACTGCCCTCTGCTCCAACACATTCAGGTAGGGCTCTAGGAGCCAGCAGGAGGTGGAGCATCTGGTCTCCATCCTGTCAGGTCCCCTTAGGGGTCCTGCCTCTCATTCCCTCCTGACTGTAGCCTTTCCCAGACTTCTGCCAGCAATGAGGCTCGTGGGGTGCTCTAAATATCAACTCAGGTCTCAAGGGCAGGGCAGGCATCTTCTCCAACAGACTTTTGAAAAGTCTGGGCTCAGGACTTCCTGGTGGCTCAGCCAGCAGATGTGTGGGGATGTTGGTGAAGACTTTGCCCTTTCCCATTTTTCCTTTCTTCATGCTCTATCACGTTATAGAGGCAAATATTAACCCCCTGGCTCATTGCCAGGGGCTTGCACATCTCTGCTGTGTCAGAGTTCTCGCTCTGAATCCTCCTGCGTATCCACAAATGTGTCTCTGTCTGGAAGGGGGAGGGTGTTGTTTATGGTTAGTGGGCTGATGCTGGTCTCTGCTCCCTGGCAGGATCCTGAAGAGCATGGTGGTGAGCTGGGTGAAGGAGATCACGCAGTATCACAACGTCTATGCAGACAACCAGGTCATTCACTTTTACCGCTGGCTCCGCTCTCCTTCCTCCCTGCTCTATGACCCAGCGCTGCACCGCATGCTCCACAACATGATGAAGAAGCTTTTCCTGCAGTAAGTGAGACATGTAGCGTGCCAGGCTGGTGAGTGGGGAAGGGACAGGCATGGAGTTAGTGGCCAGGAGGCTGTTGGCACCCACAGTCACTCCTCCCTGCCCCAGCCTCCAGAGACGTGGGCAGTAGGTTGGATCTCCTGTGCTGCTCCCTCACATGGCATCACTGGCACACGTGACTGGGTCAGCACGTTCTCCAAGTATTGCATCCACTGCTTGGGCTTTGCCTTCTTGCCTGCTCACTCCTGCTCCTGTGCCCTCCCTGCAGGCTGGTGGCTGAGTTCAAGCGTCTGGGCTCCTCTGTGGTTTATGCCAACTTCAACCGGATCATTTTGTGCACCAAGAAGCGGCGTATCGAGGATGCCATCAGCTACATGGAGTACATCATCAACAGGTGGGGTGTGCTCACCAAGCTGGGCCTAGAGATGAAGCTCCTGGATGATGGAGCTGAGTCAGGCCTTGGGGCCAGAAAGGAGGATGCCTTTTTTTCTGCCTTTTAATGGGCCTCAGCACTGAATTTCTTTTCCTTTCCCTCTCCTCCTTCTTTCCCTCTCCTCCTTCTTTCCCTCTCCTCCTTCTTTCCCTCTCCTCCTTCTTTCCCTCTCCTCCTTCTTTCCCTCTCCTCCTTCTTTCCCTCTCCTCCTTCTTTCCCTCTCCTCCTTCTTTCCCTCTCCTCCTTCTTTCCCTCTCCTCCTTCTTTCCCTCTCCTCCTTCTTTCCCTCTCCTCCTTCTTTCCCTCTCCTCCTTCTTTCCCTCTCCTCCTTCTTTCCCTCTCCTCCTTCTTTCCCTCTCCTCCTTCTTTCAAGCTATTGAAGGGACAAGGCTACCCATTTCATAGAACCACAGGCTGGTTTGGGTTGGAAGGTACCTTAAAGCTCATCCAGTCCCAACCCCCCTGCCAGCAGCAGGGACACCTTCCACTAGACCACATTGCTCAAAGCCTCATCCAACCTGGCCTTCAACACTTCCAGGGAGGAGCAGCCACAGCTTCTCTGGCCAACCTGGGACACTGTCTCAACACCCTCACACCAAATTTCTTACTCACATCTCAGCTCCATCTCCCCTCTGCCACTTTCAAGCCATCACCCCTTGTTCTCTCACTCCCTGCCCTTGGCCAAAGTTCCTCCCCACCCTTCCTGGAGCCCCTTCAGGTACTGGAACTTCTCTTGCTGTCACACCTGGAGTAGGGATCTGTCCCTTAGCTGTCCTCTGTAGGTAATATTCTAAGAATATTCAGGTTTCAATGCAGGAGAGACCTTCAGGAGAACTTGAGGTGCCCAGCACCTCATCCCCTGGCTGCCTCTCAGCATCCCAGCCATGGTACTGGTACCTTGACACAAGCACAGGGAGCCAAGACTCCTCAGGGATGCCTTCCCCTGGGGTCTTTGCCAGTGGTTGGATGGGAGAGAGGAGCCCCTTCTCTCCTTGCCAGCACCACCTCCTCCCCATGGTGTCCCACAGAGAAGTCTCTGAACTAGGGACAATGCCAATGCTGTGGGTGACTGCAGTCTCTTCCCACCAGCATCCACTCCAAGGAGATCTTCCACTCTCTAACCATATCCTTCTCCCGCTGCTGGGAGTTTCTGCTCTGGATGGATCCAGCAAATTATGGAGGTATCAAGGGAAAAGTGGATTCTCGCATCCACTATGGGGAGGTAAGAGACAGAAAGCGCTCGGTGCCCCAGGAGCAGGGTGTTGGGGACAGAGCTGAGTGGGGAGGCATTGGCGGGGCACGAGCAACTGCTGCAATATCACTGGCTTCTCCAGAAGGACACCAGCAAGAGGCAAGTGTTGGAAGAGGAGGACAGTGAGGAAGAGGAGGAGGAGGCAGTGGGGGAAGAAGAGGAGGAGGAAGGAGAGCCGAATGTGGAGGAGCTGCTGGAGAACAACTGGAACATTGCCCAGTTCCTGCCCCAGGCTGCCTCCTGCCAGAGCTACTTCCTGATGATTGTGTCAGGTGAGTTGTCCCAGGGAGGGGACGGGGTCACTTGTGCCTCCCCGGTGCCAGGGAGATCCTGCCCTGGGGCAGCTGCTGGCGCGGCTGGAGCTGGAGCCTTGTCCATATCTCCCCAGCCTACATTGTGGCTGTGTACCACAGCATGAAGGAGGAACTGCGGCGCAACGCCCCCGGGAGCACCCCCATCAAGAGGAGGAGTACCAGCCAGGGGTCCCAGGAGGTGCTGGGGGATGTGGAGGCCATGCCCGGTTAGTGCTGAGCTGTGCAGATGGAGAGCTACCCACCCTGCTGTCCCCGTGTGCCACAGTGTAGCTCAAGTGCTCTCTGCTCCGTCTCTCCAGGCATGATCACCTTCTCGCAGGATTACGTGGCCAATGAGCTCACCCAGAGCTTCTTCACCATCACCCAGAAGGTCCAGAAGAAGATGACTGGTTCTCGCAATGTCACTGAGCCTTCAGACCTGTTCCCAGTGCTGCCTGGCTCCTACTTGCCGCTCAACAACCCAGCTCTGGAGTTTATCAAATACGTTTGCAAGGTCAGCAGAGTGGGCAAGGCCCCTTTTCTGAAGGTTTGCAGTCAGGGCTTAAATTCTGGTCCTTGTCCATGGCTCAGATTTGCTGCAGCTTTCCTCCAGGAGTGATCTACAACCAGTTTGTCTTGCCCTGCATCCATGTGAGGTCACAAGGATATGAGCTATCCTGGTGAGGACACTCTCTTTGCTGGTAGGCTCACCTGGCTCTTATTCTTGTAGGTCCTCTCCCTGGATGCCAACATAACCAACCAGGTGAACAAACTGCGCCGGGACCTGCTGCGCCTCATTGAGGTGGGCGAGTTCTCAGAAGAAGCCCAGTTTCGGGACCCTTGCCGCTCCTACGTGCTCCCTGAAGTCATCTGCAGGAACTGCAACTTCTGCAGGGACCTGGACCTGTGCAAGGACCCTGCAGTCTCCCAGGTGCAGCCTCTTTCCTGGCTACACCAGAGGCCCCAGCATGGCAATGCTGGAGGTCCACCAGTCACCTTACCTCCCTTCTCTCTCCACCCCTTTGCTTTGCAGCTCTGCTTGTTGCTGGTGATCACCTAAAGGCCATTTTCTGTTCACCTGCTTTTCTAGCTGCTTGCAACAGCTCTGAGCATGCTTTGGCTGATTCTTTGTCTTCTCCAGAAACCAGTTCCACCATCCCAGTGCTTGGGATTCTTGATGCTCACCTCCTTCCTCTTTGTCCCTAGGACGGGCTGGTGCTGCCCAGCTGGGTCTGCTCCAACTGTCAGGCGCAGTACGACTCTGGTGCCATTGAAATGGCGCTGGTGGAAGCCCTGCAGAAGAAGCTGATGGCCTTTGTGCTGCAGGACCTGGTGAGTGGGAGGCTCCCCCCTCTGCCCATCCCCCTGGTTGGCTGAGGCCAGACACATTCACTCTACCCCTGACAGAGGGGCTTTGGCCTCATCTCCTGGCCCACATAAAACTCCTTGGTCTTCAGGTGTGCAAGAAATGTCATGGTGTGAAGGACACACACATGCCTGTGTACTGCAGCTGTGCTGGAGACTTTGCCCTCACCATCTCTTCCCAGGTACACTTGCCCAGCCCTGTGCCAGCAGCTCCTTAAAGGGACACCAAGGAGCCCTGTAGTGCCATTCTTTCCCTGTCTCTTCTCTAACTGCTTGTCCCCTGGGACCTGCTGTGCTGTGCCTGCCCTACCCGTTCTCCCTGGTGCCCTCCTGCTGCCCAGGAGTGCTGGGCAGCCTCCTTCCCTCCCTACTCTCTTCTCCCCAGACCTTCATGGAGCACATCCACATCTTCCAGAACATCGCCCAACATTATGGCATGGCCTACCTGCTGGAAACCATCGAGTGGCTGCTCTGCACCAAGCCCCAGCTCAGGCAATGAGCTGGTGGGCTGCTCCTCCTGTGTGGCCCCTGCCAGTCAGGGCACCAGGGCCATGCTCTCATGTCCGTGGAAGAGCGCTCACAGATGCCCTTGGCCATGGGCAAGACCCCAGAGAAGCTGCACACCCCTCCTGTAGCAAGGGAGAGAAGGCAGGAGCTGTGCCAGGGACTGGGCTGTCCTGCCCACAGGGCACCAGGGGCTGGAGCTGGGCTCTACAGGCCTGTGCTAGCCCCTAGCTGTGGTTTGTATTTGAACTTCTATAAATAAATGGACTGTAGAAGGCAGGTGTAGTTTTTGAGGAGGGGGAGAAGTAGGCACAGCTCCCACCCATGGAGCCCACCAGCTGTGACACCTATCTCCCCTCCATTTCACCTGCTGTGAGTAGCCCAGGGCCAGGAAGCTGAGCACTGGGGTTTATTGACTGGCAGCAGTGGCAGGTGGCTGTAGGACATGTCCCACCTGCACACGGGTGCAACTCTTCATGGGGACAGCAGGGACACTCAGAGCTGGGGGGGCCTCAAACATCTCTGTGCAACCTGGGTGTGTGTCTCCCCACCCTCAGTGTAAAACATTTAGTCCCAGGGTCCAGTCTGTATCTCTCCTCTTTTAGTTTAAAGCTGTTGCCCCTTGTCCTGTCACTACAAACCATCACTGAAAGTCTCTCTGTACCTTTCTTACAAGCCCCCTTTAAGTACTGAACAGTCACAATAATACTCCCCAGCACCTGTCACCACTGCAGGTGGTGACCAAAGACACCCTCATCTTCTCTGAGGGTTCACCTCATCACCCTGCAGCCACGAGCGCTTGAGGAGCCCTCCCACATATGTGTGCAGTTCTAGGTTAAAGAAGTGGAAGGTGAATCCTGGTGAGGAGAGCCCTTGAGGGACCAGGAGGGGCAGACACCCACCATGGTCCCCTTCCTGTGCAGAAGCACAGCAGAGAGGAGATGGTGATGATGGAGCTGGCAGGTTCCCTCTGTGCGTTTTTTCCTCCAGTCCCAGCTGCCGATGACACTGGGAGTCAGGTGGCTCCTTCCCAATGAGTGTGACGGTCTCTGCAGCTGCTGCTGTACTGACACAACTCGACATGTTCCCTCCCTGTTCCGAAGCCTTGCTGAGTGCATTCAAGTAACAACAGCCTTAGAAGGACCTGTCCCTGCCATCTTCTGTGGCAGCCAGCATGGTGGCACCCTGCAGTGGGACTCCAGCAGGACAAGGGGACAGTGAATTTACAGGATGTACTACTGCAGCCCAGGGAGAAGAGGGCGCATGAGGGCTGGAGGGACCCAAAACACTTGGTTTCCACACACACATTACAAGGCAGGGGCCCCTGGACACACATCCTAGGCTTCCAAAGGTCCTCATGAACAGAGTCTCTCATTCCACTAATGTGGCAGGGCGTGAGTCCTCCAGGCCTCCCAAGGGATGCTGGAAGAGCTTTCTTGGAGGCTTCCCTCCAGTTCAGACTTAAGAGAGAAGGGTCTCCTCTGCTTGTGCTGTGCAGGTGCAGCAAATGATGGGAAAGATCATCTGTGAGTTGCCTGTCTGGTCAGGCACTGGCCAAGTAAGGTCACATATAACTAGGACCCTAAGACTACAAATAAATTCAGATGCTAAGAGAGATTTCAAGATACCTAGTACTCCCTGAGTAGATCAGGATACCCTGGGGGCTGGAGACCAGAAAGACTTTCTTCCCCAGCCGAGTTTCCTGTGCCTTTTGGGTAAGGCAGTGGCAGGAGACTGAGTGTGCCCCACTGAGAACAGCCCTGTAAGGCAGCTGAAAGCAAGCAGCACCCCAAAGCCTGGGGGGGGGGGGAGGGGGAGAAAACAAGGTGAGTCCACACCAGGTGCAGGATCAGAGACCTCAGGTTCCAGGGTAAGGCTGGCACCTCAGCGAGGGAAGTAGCAAGGACAATCATGGTTCTGCTGACAGGAGCCCCCAAGGCCATGTGCTACTGTGGGTGAGAGGCCAAGGCAAAGTTGGCCAAGAGACTCCAAAGTTCATGTTAAAATGTTATTTTCCTGCCTTGTTTTTAAATATATGAAGTAGCGACCTTCCCTGTAGAAATACG